ACATGTTAAAATGCCGTTTTACCCGCAAAGAAATGTGTTGCGGGTAAAATGAGATTTTACCATGTTCAAAAATCTCTCCATGTTAAAATGGCATTTTTCTCTTATTACTTTGAATTTTAACATCTGAGTTTTCTCAGAGTAGACATGGCTGCGATACAAAAATTCCCATTTTCAGTAGTTTTTGTATGAAAAGTGCTTCAAAAATTATTCGTATCGTAAAACTAATGTCAGATTCAGTTTTCTCGTGAATTCTTTGAGTAAAAGATTTGTAATAAATGCATGTTGTGGATCACAGTGCGGAAAAGTTCATCTTATGGATGTAAGACATTTTATTTCTTTTTTTATTGCTGATTCTAATGCTATTGCTAATGCCAATTAAACGCTTTGTTTTCAAACAATTTATTGAAGAAAAAAACCATCAACTTCATCAAGAACAAATTTCATTATAAAAAAGTACACCACTTCCATGTTCAGAGCACATCTTTTAAAGAAGGAACTGAATTGATCATCCTTTTGTCAGTGTTTTGAAGGCCATATAATAACTAATTACGGCTCTCAGCATCTAAAATATCAAAAAAAAAAAATGTCAGTCAAGAGAATTGTTACAGTCTCTCTGAAAAATATCAACAGCAACATTTATTTTAAATGGACGAACGATTTAGTATTTTTAGAGAGAGCGTACATATTTCTTGAGTTTTACTATCAAGTCTTAATCCGGACAGTTGGGAAGTTAGGCGTTCGAATTTTTGACTTAACATTTCCAATGTTCGAAAATTAGGAAATAAATCGATTTTCCGGACCTAAGGTAGCCCTTTTGTTACTTTTCACTCCAGCCCGGTTAAAGTTTAATATTAAAACATCCCAGACAAAACTACTACATCAAAACATTTACCGAGCAAAATGTGTCTAGATTTAAGCGAGCCACGCCGAAGCCATGATAGAAGAGGGGACGTTGGGCATTTGCAATCATAACAGTTATAAATTTCTCAAGCATAACTGGCAGCTCAAACCAACTTGATTCAAACAGTAAATTGGCGTAAGAGAAACACTCATCGGTTGATCGATTCCCAAAGTAGCAATACAGAAATAAATTAAAGCTGCTCACAAATACACAGACGAATAAAACGCCAATGTTCAAGTTGAATTTTTGTAGTACCTAAAAGAATGTACAGCGTTCGAATGAGTTTAATTTATTTGGTGGAATTTTAGAATGTTTTGTTCGTTTCTCGGCTTTATCGATAATGAAATTTTCATGATATCTGCCCAGGAAGGGTAACAGTTCTCTATTTGTCAGCAGTAATCAAAGTTTATAATGAAAAAATGCTAACAATCGGTTGTTTCTTTGAATCGAAGCCGTGAAAACAGCTCTAATTCTAATATCATAAAAGAAGTCATATCTTACACTATCAAACAAGAATATGGAGCAAGCCGTGTAAATCATGCTGCCAATCAATTGAATCAAAATGAAAAGGCTGAAGAAATTGGCGGTGTCTGCGAATAATCTGAATAAAAAATACCCAATTAATTATTTTAAAATAAATATCAGAATAAAAAGATCTTACTCCCTTGTCAAATTATGAAACTGAATCAACCGAACCAATTGCAATTTTATATTGTTGAATTCTGTCTTTGGCGTTGCGTTCAATTCTTTCACTAATGCTCCAAAGCAATTATAAAATGCCCGATGATGTTCGCAGACTCCAATGAAAAACGACAAAAATGCGTAATTGATCAGCAAATACAGTGGTGCAGCAATGGCGCTGAACAAATTTAATCCAATCCAACCGAAAAGTGTTTGTTGATTCCACGGTAGACTAAAAGATTTCGAAGTAAATCAGTTTATTTAAAGTGTTTTGAAATGAAATTCAAAGGTGGAAATTACGCAAAATGATATGGAAAATACAGTAGGTCCTTTTCGATTTGGCCATAAGCTATTTCCAAATAGGAAACGTTCAGAATTCCCATTACGGCCAACAGGGCAATAAACGAGATCGGCACGAATTTCACTAGAATATTTGTAATCCGTGTGCTTTTTCGATCGGCTTCGCTTAGATATGGAGCCAACATTGACATTTTTCCTGTTAGAGAAGAAAATTTCTATTCAATTATAATATGATTTTGATCAAAATCTAAAAAAAACTACTTGAATCATAAACCCATTCGAACTTTGTAAAGATGCTTGCAATTGTATTTCGTAAAACGAAAGCGATAATCCACATATAAATCACACTGAACAAAGCAGCTATTTGAAAAAGGGCGTACAAACAATTCTCAATGTCATTTTTCACATGGAAATAAATAAACAATGCACTGGCTATCAACGCCACACTTTCGATGATTATCATTACCACAGCAAATAGAAAGTATTTTGACAAAATTCGCTGTGAAGCAATTGGGTAGAGACTGAGACTTGTGAATATTTTTTTATTCAGATCAAGTGGTTTCATTTTGGAAAACAAATGAGAAAATTTCGAAAAATATCAAAAAGAAAACTTCGTAGAAGTAAAAGAATTGAATAACGATAAGAAAATTTAGTAGCACTCGCGACTCCTTATTACCGATTGCACGATACTCGTATCACCGATTCACACTGATTTATTTGGTTAAATAAACAGTGACATAAATCTGAGTTTGAAGGATACTTTTGAACACAATTAAATTGTGGCATGTTTAATGGCGATTTGTCTAGACATTTATCGCATTAAAATTATAATTTTTCGAAGTAAATATAGTTATGATTCAACTGAATAGTTCAATATTTACAATTGTATGTACACAACATGGCGTGTTGTTTTACTTCAAAATTGAAACACTATTTATCGCTAAGACACAAGGGAAAGTGCGAAATATTTCCAAAAAAATCCAAAAACACTTCGGTACTTTTCAAGCAAAACTTCAGAAGGAGTAAAAGAAGTAAAAGGACTCAGAGTAGCATACAGGAATAGTGTGTGAAATCACAATGGTGATAGAGAATTGACTATAAAACAAATAAAAGTCATCAATTAAAAATGGATAGCATTTCGAGTGTTTACCCTTTTATCGCTTATAATTATCGAATCATGTCTGATGAAATTAATGTCGGTGCGTTAATGACAAAACTTTGATAATGACAAAACATTGATTTATTACATCAAAAATTAATAAATCAATGTTTTGTCATTATCAAAGTTTTGTCATTAACATTACATTAACCCTCAAACGCACACGTGGGGTCTCTTAGGCCCTAAGAGTTAGTTTTTTGAAAAAATCACAAAAATATAAAAAAAAATTGGAAAATTTCGCTGAGCGTTTTCTTTTTTAATGTCATATCTATGTGATAAAATCAAAAATTTCAATGTTTGGTGCATAGATGAAGTTTTGGGAAGTCTTATACAAAATACTAACGTAAAAGCACAACGGGGTCTTTTGGACCCCAAAGTATTTTGTATGGGAAATGATGTATTCTGTATGGGCCAATATGAAACTCATGGAGATTTGTTGACACAACAATTTACATTTCATCAAACAACAACACAGTAAATTGTTTCGTCCGTGACGTATACTGTTCATCGCAAATCAAATGGCATTTGCCATTATAATATATATTCATACATTGTTTTTTTTTTGGATAGGATAGATCCGTAAGATCTCCACAAGAGCTTGATCTAAGCGTGCATACGCCGCCGCATGATATATTCGTTCGTTTTTCTGTGTTGCTTCGACGCGCAAATCAAAGCAGGCGTGCCAATCAAAGTATGTATCATGCGGCGGCCTACGCACGCTTAGATCCAGCTCTTGCGGAGATCTTACGGTTCTATCCTATCCAAAACACAACGTATGGGCATATTTCGTGAATTTGTTGAACGTTGCTGGTGTGGCAGGGTTTGCCTTGTTGCGAACGTCTAACAACATGTTTGCCAAGTATGGAGATAGAACGGAAGCAGCGCGATCTCATCGCACTCCATATAAAGCAATGTAATTGGTTTCGATCACGCAAATGTGCTGCCACCTGGTGTCTCAGAGTTAAGCTGATATATCACACATGCTTCTTGCAAATGCAGAAGAAGAGGAAGGAAAAATGTTTACATAGGGTTGAACTTATAAATGCCAGAGAGCTACAGTGTTCAAAGTGCGATCGCCCTTCGGGAAGCAGTCTCTATATTGATCTCACATATCGAGAGGTAGTTCGGCGCAGTACACGAAGCACATTAACTGGCCAACGACTGTCGATTAGCGATATTAGTGAAAGACACGACTGTCTGAAAGTCGTACATATCAATAACTACCAAGCATTTTGGCTATAATTGATTTTTTTTTCCATAAAAATCCATATTAAATTGTGATGCTGTATTGGAAAGTAAGGAATAAGCTATGGTTTGACTATAAAATGACATATTTTACTCATTGGATACCATTTTGCATAACTTTTGTATGAAATTTCTCATGGGTCCAAAAAGACCCCACCTGTGCGCTTACGTTACTGTTTTAGCCTGTGCGGTTAAGGGTTAAAAATTAATCAATTTATTTTCCAAATTAATTTCGAAGGACATTCACCTTCCATAGACCATTCTATAGAATTTTAGATTTATTTATCAAAGCAAATATTTTCACGTAAAATCAATTTGTCCAACTTTGGTTAGAAATTCCACATTGGAAAAAATGCCTTTTCACGGTCAAGAACATGATATTTTTTGACTCTTTGCTACAAAAATGTAAAGAGAAACAACTAACTTTGAATGTTACTTTTCCGCACACCTAGTGTAGGAAAGGTATTGTATTAGGCCAAAAAGTTAAAGTCACCCCAAAACATGTTTTCTATGCATATTTCATGTGGAAATCACGACTGGAGATGATTTTGGGGCATATTATTGTGCGTCGCTGTGTGTGATGTGTCCTGTGTCCTTTGACTCCTTTTTTTGTTACCGCGATAAGTCTTCTACCAAAAACTCAATTCAAATGCTGACGTTGCAGGATGATTTGGGACTACTAGGAGACGTGCTGATTAGTTTTTGAGTAATATCTGTTGACCGGTGTGATTTTTTTTGATCCGAATGGAGTACCCACATTATCCATACATTTTTTGATCATTTTTCAACCATTTTGGTGACACGATGGTTTCGTGCTCAGACATGAAATTCAAAACCTGACCTTACGGGATGATTGGGGACTACGAGGAATAGATCTGGTCAAATTTTCAACGACATTGATTGATCGGTGTACACTGTACAACTTAGACTCTGTAGAGGCACTTATGAGAAAAATGCCTTAAAATGATATTCTTTCAATTTGGGCGCTGAAAGAATGTGTAATGGAGGTTTTTTGGCACGAGAAACCCAAATCTGACATTAGTTTTAAGATGCAATCAATTTTTCACAGACTTTTCATACAAAAATCCACAAAAAATTTCATTTTTGTATGAAAGACATGCCTTTGTGGTACCGTAATGATGTGATACTTTGAACAGGCTATTTTTTTATTGAAATTTCTTTAAACTTGGTGTGATTATTTATTTTGATAAGAAAGTAATATTTACAAGGTTTCACGGTGATTTAAGTTACTGCAACCATACATAGACCAAAATTTCGGTTCTATGCAGAAAAGTCAGCGTACGCCTCTTTATTTTTTGTTAAAAAAACCGACCAAATTTTTAAAAAATTTTTGAAGCTTTTATGCTTCAAGAATTTTCTACACACGGAATTGAATGATGCGAACGATGTCTTTGAATGCACTTTTCCGCCAAAAATGTTGTATGACATTGACAGCACAATCCCTTACATTCAACATATTCCATATAGTGATAGCACAATTCCTTACACTGTTCAATTGTTCATCAAAGACCCGATTTATCATTTTGTGAAGTGAACATTTATCCGAAATCATAGTCTGTATTCAATAAATCATGATGGAAAGTAATATGGATATTGCGCAACAAGTTGATCAGTCGAATACGATGGAAGAAAATCGGAACCAATTGAGTCTGTTGAAGTACACGCTGGACTACATAATGAAAGTTCCAAAGGTAGGTTTGCTTGCAATATCCATAGCATTCTAAGCACTGTTCTATTAATTTCATAAAATTCAGTTCAAATGCTTGAAAAACCCACTGCAATCTGATGATGATCCAATGGTCAACACAATTGGCTTGATCGAAATTGCTGCAAAATTAAAAAAATACATCACGCTTGATGATTTTTTGACCGACATCCGTTGCTTGGTTCAAAGTTACAGCATTTATTATACATGTGAGTGTCTTTACTTATGTGGTTCTTTGAAATAGAGAGATTTCTAAATAAATTTTGATTAACTTTTGAAGCGCCCATAAAACTAGTGTTTAACCGTTTGCCATATTTCCATCATAGATAAATCTGATCAAAAAAAAGCCGCTGATTTGTTGTCCGAACGATGCAATCGCGATGTGCAAAACATTCAACTGTGTTCCGATTGCTTCGAATCTTCTTATATTGATCCCAAACACTACTTCACGCGTGCTTGCGACAAGCCGCATTTGGTAGTTTTCGCTAAGCTGGATAATTACCCACATTGGCCGGCAAAACTAAAGCAAATTACTGGTGACATGGCAACTGTTGAATTCTTTGGCGACCATACCCAAGCTGTCGTTCCAGTCTCGTCTTGTATTTTGTATTCGAACGATTTGGCCGAGGAAAGTCAGAGTACAAACAACGTTGAATTGAAAATTGCTCATGAGGTAAATAAGACACACTAAATATGACTATTTTGCTCTGATTTAATTCAAAATTACATTTTTCTCTTCAAAAAATCGCAATATCTTTCCACAGGAGCTTTTGCTTCACGTCAAACATCTCAAAGCTAAATTCGGTACATTCGTTCCGTCTCAAGCTATCGCCGAGACTGTCACCGCCGAAAATATGAAACAAAAATTGGTTAACATGATTCCAGGTGCTTTCAAAGTAGCCACCCCAGCTACATGTAAACAAGGTGAATCGATAGCTTCATATGAACAAAACGAATCATCGTCGGCCGCTGCTCCTTCGCCATCAATTGGGACCACAAGCAAAACGGCACCCATGACAGTTGTTCACGAAATCGGTGGTCGGAAGCGTCAACAAAGTGTTGATTCGACCAATATAGTGTCGAAAAAGAAAAAAATTCCAATTGTGTTTGAAGCTGAGCCAAGCGTTATCGATGAAGTTCGCGTTGATGACAAACAAGTTGGCCAAAACAGCGACGATGACAAGGCGTCAACAGAAACCAACACAGAACCAGACCAACTCCGAAATCCAAAATCAACCGAATCAGCCACACCAGGGACAAGTCATGTCAACGTACCCGATAACGAGATGACTTTATTACGCCATAGTTTCGATGTTGTCTTGGAATTGGAAGAAGTAAATTATATTTTTTAGTTGATTTTCAGGATATTCATGTCTTTTTTTCTCAAAACTTCAGTTCCAACTACTCAAAGGTCCAAGAAAATGGTCGATTGGTTTGAATGGCATCAATGCAAAATTTAGCCGCTATACAAATGCTGATGAATTCTTGGCTGATATCAATGCGTTGATTAAAAGCTATGCCGCGAATTGTGCATGTAAGGATTCCATTTATATTCTTTTCTTTTGCATCGATTTTTTGGCACTAATTTCCATTACGACCCTCAATTGTAGCGAATCGTGATGTGAAGATGGCTATCTATTATTTGTCGGAGCGCTGTCACCGTGATGTAAAGAGCATTCGAACTTGTTCGGAATGTTTTGCCAGTTGGGTTAACGATCCAGATGATTATTTCACAAAGGTTTGCACGAAGCCTCACCTCATCGTTTATGCAAAGGCGGTGCCTTTCCAATTTTGGCCGGCGAAGCTTATGTCCATTAATGGTCATGTCGCTAATGTTGAATTTTTTGACGATCACACTCAAGCCGATGTTCCAGTTGAAAACTGTATTTTGTATCCGAAAGAACATATTATTCCGAGAAAAGGAAATAAACTTTATGATGCGTTCAAGGTGAGTTTTGCTTTAACTTGACAACAATTCATATTTATATAGATTTTTGCTAGGATTTTTGTTTAATGTAATTGAATACGGGAAAGATATGATTATGAATATTTGTTGTTGTTTTTTCTATTTATTTCATTCAGGAGATGGACGACTACATTAAAAACATCAAGGAAAAGTACGGTGCCGTCAACCCAATTATGCCAAAACAAACACTCGACCCAGAAAAACTCAAGGAGCATACGATGCAAATGTTCCCTGGGGCATTCAATTAATTTTACACCATACTGAACGACCAGTATCGATTCTACTATCGAAAGGATATGAACATTGAATGTTCAACATTCAAACAATTGAATTTATTCCTTTTTCCATATTTGCTTTCTGTCTTTCATATGAAAGTTTCCAATAAAAACTGGACAAATGATAGTTTTTTGTTTCTAATATCCTCAAAAAAGATTTTTTGTTCCAGAAAAAGTCATGATACAAGCCATTCGATCAAAAAAAGAATCACCTTCAATTTTTCTAAAAAAAAATCAAATTTTATTGAATTGTCAATTTCGAAAATAGCATCTTCCTGAATGTTTTTGAATGGATCGAAGAAGATGTGAGATATTTGGTTGTTAACTTCCTTCGGTCTAGAGAAGAATGTGAAATTGAATTTGAATTAACAAAATCAATAACATTTTTGAAAAAAAAAATGATTTTTTTATGTGGCTTCACCGAAGCGGAATTGAATGGCTTCACCGAATTGGGTTCAACCGATGCCATTAAACGAACTCTCCCGCCAAAAATGTTACATGCCATTGACAGCAAAATTTTCCATTACGCTAGCACAACCTATACCGTATGTACGCACAACACGTGTTCTCTTATACAATTTTCGATCCAAAAATACAAATTATCGCTGTTGCAACCAAATTTTCTTTTCGGAATTCATCGATACAGCGTGGAAAACAATATGAATACTATTCAAAGTGTTGACAATCAATCGGATGTGTCGCAACAAAACCAATTGCGCCTGTTGAAGTTCACGCTGGATTACATCATGAATGCACGAAAAGTAAGTAGTCTGTTTGTGGACACAAATACAAAATATTCATACAAATTCTTGATTTCTCTCAACAAATGCAGTTTCAATGCTTGAAAAAACCATTGAAAACAGACGATCCAACGGTGACAACAGTTGGTTTGGCGAAAATTGCTGAAAATTTTGAGACATACACCAGTATTGAAGAATTTTTGGGTGACATCAATTGCTTGGTTCGCTGTTACTCCCTTCTGTTTGCAAGTAAGTCTTTGGTTGGAACTACAGAGTGTGAAGAAGTACTAATTTCAACAAATATCAATTTTATCTAATCCCATTATTGAAGAATCGAATCAAAAGAAAGCGGCCGAATCATTGTCCGAACGATGTCATCGTGATGTAAAAAGCATTCAGTTGTGTGCCGATTGCTTTGAATACTGGAACACAAGTCGTGATGATTATTTCACACGTGTATGCGCCAAACCACATTTAGTCGTGTTTGCTCGATTGAATCCGTACCCATATTGGTATGGATTTTATTTTGAAATCCATTAAAATTTTGAAATTTTTAATTTACATTTTATTATCAATAGGCCCGGCAAGCTAATGTCAATCGACGGTGAAATTGCCAACATTGAATTCTTTGGCGATCATACCCAAGCTGACGTTCCAGTCGCGTCTTGTTTCTTGTTTTCAAGCGAGTTTGCGGATGACAGCAAGCATTCAACAAACATTCACCTCAGAAATGCATACGAGGTAAATAAAACACAATTAACATGATTTTTTTTTTAAATAAAAACCAGAGCATGACATCGTTTAAAACAAGAGAAGAGCTCACTCGATGGACTATTACAATTGTCTATGTAGTGTGATCGTTTATAATAGTAAGTTATTATTAACTCAGGCGTTGTTCCATGCCATATACTGTCTGATTTTAACTCGGAACCGTCCAATTTAAACACTTTGTGTATTTTCCATTAAAAAAAATATTCTTTTTCTTACAGGAGCTTTTGCAACACATTGCAAATATCAAAGCAAAGTTCGGTACATTCCATCCATCTCCATTCAGAGCGGCCATAAACCCTGAAAAAATACAACAACAGTTGGTAAAAATGATTCCAGGTGCTTTCAAAGTGGCCTGTGATGAACAATCATCAGCTTCCGTTGAAAAAGGTGAATCATCGTCGGTAGCAGCAGTTGTTGTTAATCCAACGAATGATACTGCACCCATAATTAAGGCGGCACCAATAGTTGCTGCTAAACAAGGTAACAACGACCGAAAACGTCAACAAAATGGTACTGTTGCTTCGCCCACTAGTGAGCCGAAGCTTAAAAAAGAAAAAGTTCATATTTTGAGCATGGTCACAGTTGTTCCAGGAAAACCATCTGTTAGTGTTGCATCTGTCAGTGTTCAAGAGCCAGACGGTGTCACAAAAGTTGGCCACAAAAATGTTGCTTTGCAATCGGCAACGGTCACCAACACAGAGCCGGATCACTCACAAAATCCGAAAACAACCATGACTACCGAACAAGATACACCAGGCAAGAGCCAAAAGACAACTCAAACAAGCACTGAAATAGTAGCAACCAACACCATCGAGGAAGTCATGTCGAAATGCAAAAATGAGCTGGTGGAATTGCAGAAGAAAAAGGCATCGCTTACGGAATTTATCGCAAAACACGAAGAAAATATTCGGACACTACAAAATCAAATGGCGGTCATCATCGAAAAGACACCGATGTAAATCGCATACAAAGCGATTTTTGACAACAAAAAATACCATCATATATGACTCCAACAAGATTTGGCTTTGATAAAAAACAAACAATTTTGATTTTTTAATAGGCATGTTTGAAAATATGCGACAATTTCTGATTTATTTTTGCAAAAAAATTCGATTTATTTTTTTATTTTCTTTATTTAACATTTAATTGTTTTATGGAATTCCATTGAATTCAAACTATCTACTTTTTGGTGGAAACTACATTTACAATAGATTTTAAGTATTTAGAGTGTCAATGGAGAAAAATGAATGCACTCCAATTTGAAATAATCTATGAACATACAATAAAATTTATTGAATAAATACATCCCAACGGACAAATATGTAACGTTTTTAGGACATTTTAACGTTAAAAAATGTAACGCTTTGGCCCGGTTTAGTGGTCATTTCCGTGTCAAATGGAACGTAGATTTTGTGTGTAGTTTCCAGTATATTTACAACTTCCAATGGAATGATTCATTCCACTTGTTTACTACCATACAAAAACATACTCTGACCGTATAATATGATCGCCACCCAATATGTGTATTGTACGTTAAGTTTTTGTATTTTAAATTTAATGATTTATTTTAAAGAAGAAAAAAAGAAAAGAAAAAAAATCCATTCTCTGCAAACAAATTAGATTTGAGTGATTTGATTTAATTTTCTGCAGAAGAATTTTTTTTTAAACGGCACTTGGCATTTATTTTTTCAAATACTTTCGTATTTATGAACGTATATGAATTTCGAATTTCGAAATCTGAAAGACATTCGAATTGAATTTTGACAGTTGCCGTTCAACCATCGTCACTTTGAAAAAAGATGCAAACATCATACGTAATTTTGTTTACATTTTAAAATGTGCTTTGTTTTGAGAATGCATCGTGGATTTTTAGTTCAAACAAACAGAATTCTTTCTTCTAACTTCAACGTAGATATTGTGAATTTGCAAAGAATAGATTTATTTACGGTGAATTTTGTGCTTGTTCTTGTTTTGTTTTTAAAATAACAGAACATTTCCAAAGTCACACAGTAAGAAATCAAAGCGGCATTACAGTGTATTTTGTATCGAATTGATAGGAAGTTCATTTTATTTGTGTGGAAGTTCATTCTTCATTTTATATGTCTTTGTTGTGTGAATTTGACTGTGTATTAACTTCGAATTTGATGCCATTGGATTTTTGACTGTCAGAATATTGCGAATCGAATTCAGTTTAGCGAAAAATCCTCACAAGGCAAGTTGATTTAAACTGTTTGGCCATTCAATCATTGTTATTGTTGTACTCTCTATTGTGTGTTTTGTGCTTTGAAATTGCGATTTGACGTTGTGTGTAGCCTTCAATTGTTTATATAACTATTTAACGCATTTTTTCTTTCTTTTTTCCGTTTTTTTTTTAATTTTGAAATAGACTGCAAAATGGGTCGCCACAAGGCAGCAGATCCAAACGCCGACCAAAGGTGTATAAAGCAAGGACTGCCATCAATTATCCGAGAACGATATCGCGATGTTATTATCGCGATCATTTCTATTCTGTCTATCAAAGCAACGAAAATTGCGTGCCTGGCATCATTACTCTTTCTCATGAAAGTAAGTTCAAAAATTTCATTTGTTTCAGTTTTTTGCTTTGAATAACTTCTTTTTTAATATTTCATCATAAATTCATCATATCATCCGAATGATTTTTCATTTCAATTCTTCGCTAATGACAATCAAATTCAATTTTTCGATATTATTTCATCATTTTCTATACGCAATTTACGGGCGATATTTTGCACTATTGTATTTGCATGAATTGATTCGAGTGTTTGTTCGTTTGTTTGTGAATAGGTGAATGAAGCTGTTGATCACTTTGATGATGAATTTTTTGTATGGGATGATGGATCCAGCATGATTCAACGTTGTTTTAAGGCAGTACTACGTGACAACATCGGCAAAGTCTTTCTTATGCTACCGGATTTTCGACAGTTGGTAGACGCTGCTAGAATCGATTGGCCCACCAATGGTGGATTTGGTAATAGTTTCAAGTACTTGTATGAACAATACGAAGACAACGTTCGAACAAACTTGAAAACGCATTGCGAATCCCGTTTAAGAAAATTTTTCAAGCTAAAGACATTCCAGCTCAATGACAATGCAATTCGGTATAACTACTTTAACAACTTGTACGGCTCGCCCAATGAATTGCCATATTACGATGAAACTGACATCAAAAATGCCGTTAACTACGCATATCATCGGAAAGACAACACGAATGACGATGTTGAGCGACAGCTTCGATTGGGCGAGTTGTTGGATGAGCTACGTTGGTTAGGTGCACCAGAAGATTGCAACATTAAAGAATATATCAGCGAAAATTGGTTCCATTCGATTCGTATGTGGATACATATTCAACGTGAAATCCAATGGTATCACAATGAGTACAAATGTCGTCGTGATGCACCACAAATTAAAAATTTTGTCGTTGTACCAATGTGCAGTTTTCAACGTCGTCACATTCGCATCGATACCGACGCATTGTACACCATCCTAGCCAGTGTAAAATTGGTGCCATTGAAGTGCGGTTTGAAAAAACGCAAAGATAAAACGACCAATTCGATCAACATAACGAGCAACGAATTCCGCAGAAATAAAATCTTAAGTTGGAATCTGTTTTTCAATGTGGAAAAAATTCAACAACTGGTACATTTCAAAAAGTATTTCGATTTCCAAATTTGTTCGGACGGTGTGTCTGTTTCGATGATGTACAAAAAGCCAAAATTACCACCAGTCGAAATAAGTGATGCTGAAATCATGAAAATGTACAAAGGGAACAAATTGAAGTATGCTATTGGCTGTGACCCGGGCATGAAAACCTGGAACGCTTCAGTGCGTCGTGATTTGGATACCAAAGAAGAGGTAAATTCAATTTTTCATAATGAATGAAAGTGATTGATATTGTGATTGTGATTGTGAATACAATGTCGTTTTTGTTGTTATCATTTTGTTAGGTGAATTTGCGCATATCCAGCAAACGGTATCACTGGGATGCGAAACAAGGCCGACGTAATGCAAAAGCCGAACGAATCACCCGATTATTTACATACGACGAGAAGGCTGATCGCAATCGAGTTGCAGCGACTCTGGGTACAATGCCATCGCCAAGAGAAACATCATGGCGGTCGTATATTGAACATCGACTACGAGTTATGAATGATGGCATTGAAACGTACACGTGTAAGCAATATGCACGCTTGGGATTGGACAAGCATATCGAATCGGTTCGTGCGATCGACAAAACGGCTTGCAAACTGACACGCAATCAAGCAGCAATTTTCTACATGGGAGCCAGTGGATCCACACCAGCCAACTCACCGATCAAAATCAAAAAACACGTGCGATGCCCAGGCACTCGCAAACTGATTGCAGCCATCATGAAACGTGGAAATTGCATCATTCGAATGGTCGATGAATACATGACATCACAGCATTGCCCATTGTGTTTCAAGCGATTTCCACAAGAAACTCGACGTGATCGATACAAGAAATGTGTGGGTTGTGTACCAAATCCAATTGTTGGACTACCACGAACCATCGTAACCAATGTGAGCAAACGATTACTACAAATGCGACGAACAATTGAACGAATGTGGCGCGAGATGCGTGATATAGGCGATGTCATTGCTGCAACTCTTCGAGATGGACCGAATGCAGGTCGTTTGGTGTCAAAGAAGCAACGCTTCTTCAAAACATGGCTACCAAATGTTGCAAACGTTGAAATCGAGGGAGCTGCCGGAGCACAACCAACGCTCACAACTGTATGGCACCGTGATATCGCAGCAGCGAAGCTGATCCTCTACAAAGGTATGCAATCAATTGAAATTGGATGAATTGTTATACATGTAATGTGTTTTTGTTATGTATCATTCGGTAGGTGAATGCGTGGTGTTCAAGCGGACAATTCATCCAAATGTACGGAGACCACGCCGTGTTGACAACAATCAGCCATTGCCGTTGTATCGAGGTCAGAATCAGAATGTCAACAATGGACATCTGCAGCCGCAGTAGTAGCAGCCCTCATTCAACAACATTCAAACAATACTAAATTTAGAAATTAGTTTATAACAATTATTTGTTAGTTCGCTAGGCTTGATTAAATTGTGGCCTTGCCAAAGTACGAGTACCTCTTGGTATAAATTGTACTCGGTAAGTGGAGTCTATTGCATATACAATAGCATAATGATGATTATGAATCAAGTCAATTTTTTCATATCAGTCTAATTGAATTGTGCTTTCTTTTCTTTTTTTCTTTCCATTGCGACGGTAAAATTGACTGAAACTACACACGAATGCTACCCCAAATTCGACCGTAAACTTGGGCCTGGTAATGGGTGATTTGCGCTAACAATTGTTCCTTGGGATAACAGTAATACTAACATATGAACATAAAATAAGCAAATTGAAATTGATAATTGAAACTTTATATAATAAAAATAAAAATTTAATAAGCAATTAAAGGTGTTTGGCAGACTGAATTTGAAAAAAAAATAAATATTTTGCTCTCTTCTTTTCTCCCACATCCTATAGCTCCGTTACTTTCTTCAACAATAAACACGAGTCTTGATGAAATCAATCGATATGCTTCATCCCAACATCACTTGTATCGATTCAATCTGAATCACTTAGCTCCACATAATCTACATTACGATATATTCTTCCTCTCCGTGAACGACTCGTTGAGGGGACTGCTTGTACACCGCTCGTTGAATTAGTTGCTTGTACATCATTCGTTGATGGGTTTGCCTGTACACTACTAGTCGAGGCCATTCCTTCTAAACCAGGATATATTCTTCCACCCCGAAAACCACTCGTTGGAGGTATTTCTTGTACACTATTCGTTGATGGGTTTGCCTGTACACCACTAGTCGAGGCCATTCCTAACTTACGATATATTCTTTCGTGTAAACGACTCGTAGATGTGATTGTTTGTGCTATTTCTTGCAGACTACTCATCGAGTCGATTCCCTCTCCACCATTCTTCGAAACATTTTCCGCTGCCTTACTAATGGCAATTTCCACTTCCTTAGCCTTGACGGCAATCGCGCGCTTTTTTATCAACTGGAGAGTTTCTTCGTCTGTCATGGGAACAAAGTCCTCCTGGAATATATATTTGAAAACATCTACATCATTCGTGGCGATTTCCTCATGAACCATCTCCACATCAGTCGTTTCAACTCCTTCTACGTCACTCATCTCTTTTCTTTGGCAATGAAACACATTCTTTTCCTCGGTCCAATTCCATTTCTCCGCGATGTTTGACGTTAGATACTCGTTATCCTTATACAAATTGAATCGAAACTCTTTTAATGTTTTGGAATTTTGCAACAACGCTAAAGCCGCTAAAGGATAAATACTGCATTTTATTAGCATGACACTGACGATATTAGGTAGTTTGTCTGCCATAAGACGTAAATCATCCATAATCAGAGAAAGTTCATTTAAACTCTTTGACTCTATTGTCAATTTGGTCAGAAGTGGTTGTCGCTGAATAAAATC